ACTAGAAGTATGTAATACGATTTTTTCGATCAGAAACGATTAGTTTAGTTTTACTCGTCTTTTGTTTTATATGCCTCTGTTTGCGGTGAATATTTGCGAAAGAACTTAAGTGGGGGTCCAAACTTAGCAGCAGTTGTCGAAATAGATCTTCATTGGATTTTAATCTTGAACACTAACACATGTGTGGTAGTGCTGCTTGAAATATTTCATATCTCTATTTGAGCCGTTTATTTTGAAAGTGGCATAAGTCACTTTGTTTTTAAGTCGATATATTTAAGGGTTTGCGTTTTAACACGTTTAAAAATATGGATGCTAACTTTCGAGAAGATTCACTTGTATTCGTTATCTCAGGATACTGATATTTTTCTCAGTATAAATAATTTCGTATAAACATTAAAAAATCACCACTTTTCATTACGGTGAAGTGACTTATGCCACTTTCAAAATAAACGGCTCATTTGTTGCCTCTTGGGCCTCCTCTGAAGTTTTCAAATTGGTAATAAAGCTTCCTTAATAACGCTCACACCAAGGCCTCGAATGGGTATAGGTTTGTCTACACATATATAGCTATAACTTTCACAACTGCGAGTGACTGCAAAAAGATTTTGCTCAGCTGTCTTCAATAGGTTATAAAGAATATATTCTGACACAAGTATCACCGTGACTTCGGTTTTGGAGCACACGCTCAGAAGTAAGCATTCGGGAGAACTCATTTTTCGAAGAGAACTCATTTTCAAATTTCCTTCAATACATTGCATTGACCGATGTAATTATATTCCTACTCGTAAAAAAAATGTAACGAAGCAAATCACGTTAATTTAAGAGAAAAATGGAATTTTGGAACAAAAAGTATCTCACTCTATCCTCAAAGTTTTGGCAAACAATTTATAAAGGTTATTGGCGATCCGCTTGCATGCTGCGGAGAACTTAGTTCATACATCTAAGAACAAGAATTCATTCACTTTAAAGAAAGTCGAAAATTTGACTTAAGTTCGCGTTTTTATAAATTCTAAACCACTGTGGAACGGGCGAGAACGAAACAGGAGTGAGATAGATACCAGCGAAGGGATGAAGAGGGACAGAGGGTTGAAACGACGAGAGAGAAAGACGGCTGGGTGTTGGTGTAGGACGTGAAAACGGATAAAAAGCTGCGGATATTGCGAAGCACGGAATGAATAAGAGAAAGCTGTGGGAGCGAGACGGACACGAGAGAGGACGAGACAGAGGTGAAGGACAGAAAATACGAAATAATCAAGAGAGAGAGAGAGAGAGAGAGAGAGAGAGAGAGAGAGAGAGAGAGGAGGAAAAAGTGCGGAAACCAGGTAAGGGAAAAGAGAGGGAGGAAAATTCATCGCGAAGCTGAAGGAAGAGAAAGACGGATCGTGAGGTCTTGCAGGAGGTGGTCGACGGAGGGGGGATTTCCGAGCGACGGGGCCTATAATATCGTATGGCAGTGCCGTAACGAGGGGCGCTTTCCCGAGCGTTGACCTCTTCGCGCTTCCAATACTAACCTCGCCCAAACGCCTGCTGCCGAGAATACGAAATAATAGAAACTTCGCTGGTTATTCGCGCGGCCGTTGCGAGACCGAGCGGAACTCGAGCACGGATCTTCGTGGAACATGATCGACTAGAAGATCCGAGAGCGGTCGCACACGGAAGGTGGTGGCCCGCCAGGTTATATCGGTCTTCCACGGCTGTTTCCGGGCCCGAGCAAGCTGTTCCGAGGATCCCTCCGAATCACCTTCTTCTGGGAATTCGGCCGGGCGAGCCCCACCCTCCGCAACCCACAGTCGTTTCAACAGCGAAAATCTTGTTGCTAACGAATTTTCCGACCCGGATTTCCTCGACCTAATGTACCTTTTTTTCCAAAAAAGTTGGCCACAGCTCGTAATTTCATACGATTTTTGCGATAATCAGCACTCCTTATGGTTTTGAGATTGCTGAATTTGGATATGAAAAAGTGGAATATCCAAAGTGCAAAATCAGACACTACTGACATGAACATTATTTTTAACTTAGTTTTTGTGAACGTCAATAAGTTTCCGATGATTGACGAAAGTTATATAAATAGAGTATAAAACTTAATAGGAAATGATCTTAATTTCAACTTAATTTTTTTTGACACTGGACAATTGAAATTTGTTTATATTAAAAATGGGCAAAATCTGACGAAATGTTTCAATTGTGGATATCATAATTAACATCTTACTTTAATCATTTAATCTTACTCTACGACAACTGTTCCTCTATTATTATATTATAATATAACAACGATTTAGAACAGATTGAGGAGGGAAACATAAGACTGAATTCAAACTTTTGCGTCGCTTATGTGCCAAGTTCATCGCTATAACATATATTTTAATGGAAAATGTTTTATAAAAAATCTTACTAAATCTTGACGTTACGTATTGGTTTTAAATCGAAATAAAATTCTATTCTTCAATGATCAATACTTAAACAGTGGAGTAAAGATGAAGTAAAGATAAAAAAAATTCCTCGGTGATATCCAAAAAGTGATCCAATAATTAGGTAAGCTGCGACACAGCAACTTCCTCCTTTACAATGTTTCTGTACATGTTATACCTAGACTGCGAATTTTATGTATTCATGACAAAAATGAGCACATCAAAAATACAAAACTGTAGAGGCATTAGAAGAATTTAAGGATATCGTTACATTATTTTCAACTTTTTTAAACTATTAAAAGAGGAATGACAATTTCATCTAACTCACGTCTCGATAATTTTTATCTTGTATATAGATCCGCAGTCTAGTTATAACTTGGAGCTCGACCGAGAATAAATTAAGAATGTTTCAGTATATTCATGAAATCACATCGCAACCACACGCAGTCAAAGATAAGGATCGATTACAGAATTAGGGATTAAATATTGTCAACCGCGATCGCGTCACGGCTAAACGTAACCAAAGTTGGCGGTAAAGATTCGCGGCTTTAAATATAGTTGACGGCATCCGAAGTCACAGTTAATTATAGGTAACGATTTCTTGGAACAGTTATGCATTAAAAAACCTAGCCGCACAATCTTCCCGACGTTACTCGTGCTCTTGACAAAGGCACGTCAGTGTTTTGCGGAAATGAAAAGGAGAGAGAGAGCCCTACCTCGTTTCCTACCAAGGCTTCATTTCGCGTTGTCCTTGGAAGACAAAGGAACCTTAAAGGCCCTGAATGGCTCTTCATCATCTCCCCCCTCGTTACAAAGAGGTCGGCTCTCATTGATCCATATAGTTACGACGAATATTCGCCACGATGAACATTCGCGAGTCACAACATCCTTGCGCACGCATCCATCGCGATAATATACGCTCTCCTTCTCGCCACCCCGTGAAGAAGGAGCCTTTTCATAAATGTTAATAAAGACCGCGAAGAGTCGCCTTCAAAGAATCTTCGATTATGCGAGGAGAGATTGCCGGCTGCCACCGCTCGAACTCCGGCAACATGTATCTGGCTGGGATCGTAATGTGAAACTACTTGTCACACATTCTCAACCGCACACGTATGATTTTCCTCGCGGCTACGATAATCAGCACTACTTGGTTCTTAACAATTTCGTCGAAGAAAAAAGAGAATTTGTATAGCTTTTTCATTGATAGTTTCGTAAAACTATGGACAACGAAAGAGTAAATTTTTATCTCAATTGTAGAGAAGCGAATAATATTTATGTGTTTTGCAAGTGGTTAACGCTATATGCGACGAGTAAAGTGATTCGTTTTCATTTACTTGTTAAAGTTACCAGGGTACATATGTCGTGATGGAAATTTACTGATTAATATTTCACTAAATGTCACAATATAGAAAAGATCTAACTTAAATCAGAATGACCGGGGCCAGTTTTCTTATGTTTTAGTTGTTATATTATTGGAAACCTGTGTCAGTAAAAATTGAATACTTATTAAGTAACTTGTTAACTATGGATTTTATATATTTATGACCAATATAAATTTATTTAATAGAGTAGAAAAATTAAATAACTGGAGAATATCAAAAATTTCTAAGTGATTCTAAGTGATTTCTAAGAGACTCCTGTTCCTAGCAATAAACACAGAAAATTTTGGTTCTGCACGAAGATCTGTAATTTCATATTATAGCGGGCTGTCGAATATTTGTAAATATTGTAGCAACAAGGGTGTCCAAAGACAGACATTTAGTTTGTCTTCAACTGGTTAGTATTCCAAAAATGTGGAGTTTCACAAATGTTGTATTTTAGTAATACTTTTTAAAAGGTATCAGTTAGTTTCACTGCTCGGCAGTTCTGGTGTTAAAGTCCCACATGGCAACAGACGAGTTATTGAATTGTCACGTTGCGCGTTAAAAGGCCGAGAAACCGCCCGTTGGCCATTTAAATGGCCAGATAGTAGATTTCCGGTGCCAGAAAGAAGGGAGAGTCGGAGGGCAGGTGCGCGCGAGCCTTGGAAAATTCTGAAATGTTCCAGAAAGCTTCCACTTTTTCATTCGTGAAAAGGCCGAGAGTCTGGGATACAACGACAAGCCGGCTTTCGTCATTTACTTTTACCGGCAAGCTGCACAACGCGTTGCATCGGCCGGATAATCAGATGGGGTCGATATTTTTAGCACGGTTCGTACTACTGTTGCTAAGGCATCAGCTGATCAAGCCGGCTGCCTGCGTTCGCCAGCCTCGTATCAACGATTTTCCACGTTCGTCCCACCCCTCTCAGGGCGAAACCTTCTCGATGCGCGGCTTCTAATTGTAAGACAAACATATTGCGCAATTCAATCCATTAGTGAAATGTCAGCGTTACTAAGAGACGGCCGAGCGACAGAAGCATGATTTTTCATTGAATTTCTTGAAAATTCCGCTGTATTCGCTTCGGGTCGCTGCCCGCTGTTGCTACGGCACTGCCAATCGACCAATGGCATGCCCGAGGAACCGGCGAATCCCCTCTCCAGCTGTTCAATCCCCTCCTGGGCAACTCGATCAGATGATCGCTGCGCTCAGCTCGGCTGTCGCGGTATTGGTTACCGTCAGTTAGCAACCGGCTCTCTTTCCGTGCACATCGCTCACCGTAACAACCCTCCTGCACGTAATGTCCAGTGTAACCTGATTCGTGTGATCTTCCTAGTTATTTTTTTTTTATTTTCCCGAGTGGTCGGTGTTTATGTGAACGATATACGCATACATAGTTAGCCTTCTATTTTCTTTGACTCCTGTCTTGCTGCCGTGGGTACGAAAAGAAAAGCCGAGTCTGCCTAAAATCCCGATACCCGCTCGCGCCAGGGTACCAACAATATTTCTGTGATATTTATTATGACTGGTAATTTCTCACCGGTGTTCCACGAGTGTGACAACTCACGGACGTTCAATCCCAAAGGAAAACCTACCGCCAAAACTAACCGGTGAAACCAAAAGAGAGAAAGAAAGAAAGAGCGAGACCGAGTTTCTCGTCGTTGAAGATCGCGTATTATTTTCACGACTACCAATTTTTGTACGAGAGACCAAGAGCGAGAGAGAGAGAGAAAGAGAGAGTGAGGGGGAGAAAGAGAGCTTTAAAGCCAAGAACAGCCATTTTTTTTTTATTATTCAACTCGTATACACTACCGAAGTCTTTCATATTATAACTTTACACGTACATATATGTACATAGATATATATATTAAAACATAGTGTATTTATTAAAATCGTCCAAAATTCCTGTGGCTAACGTGACCGAGTCTTACCCGAGGGCGGATACAATCGCGAATTGTGGTGGTGCCGCCAACATGGGTCAGATTGGAAATGACGTAAGTTTGTTTCATACATCTTTTCTTTTCTCTATTTTTCGTTTCGTACTTTCTGCCTTATACTCGCGTCACGATTTAAATGTCCCAGTGCTCCGTTCGCAAGAGCCGGCCGGGTTACCATTTTCGACGAGCGCGCAGGTCGTCTCTGTCGCCTGCTCGCCTGGTAACAGCAAGAAGCTGCGGATCGACCGGCTTTTCAGGCTGCTTCCACGCGTTTCTCGCAATTAAGGCCCTATTACGTACGCGTGCATACAGTTTCTCCGTACAGGCATGCGACCACCGGCATGTTCGGACCTTTACGACTCATTCGGCAGAAATAGGATGCTGTGCCGGAATAGTCGGACGCAGACGGCACCGGCTAGAATCGAAGCAGGCATTGAATTTGATCAATTCACGGGTTTCAGAAGTTTTCGTCGGTTCTATCCGCCTGGATTGAACGGTCTAGAAGATGTTAACCCTTTACACTTCAACGATCATTTTCATTTGATGCATACGATATTGAGCCTACTTGTTCGTACAGTACTTAACAATCTCAACAATTTGATATAGACTTCCATAATGTAAAAATCCTTCAGAAAAATAATATAGCAATTCTTAACTTCGACTTCGCGAAGATTGCGTAGAAAGTTTTAGAAAAATGCATGAAATCCGCACGTTAATCTCCGGATATTTCCGATTCACTATGATCGAATACGTTTTGCTCATTTAGAAAATATGAAAATCTTCCTCTCGTACATGTATACAGTGACGTTTTTATTGTTCTTGGTTGTACTTAATTGTAACATTGATATGGTTTTTAGTCACGCAAGAATAACCGATTGAAAATATCTAGCAATATCGGAAACCTACGGATAAGCTGACTCATTTTTTATAATAACGTTACCAATTATTCTAATCTCTAGTTGTCGTGTTCTAAAACACTCCACAAAGTATGAGTATTATTATTTTTATAGAGTAACAATTTTTGAACAGTATTTGAAGTACAGTTAGCTTTTCGAGATGCTTATTTCGTAAAGAAAGTTCCAAAGAATCTACTGATTCGATACAATCGAATCAATGTTTGAGAATAACGTCTTTAAAATTGAACATTTACGTAAAATTATCTGCATAAATTTTATTCGCAAAGACCATTTGAATAATTACTAAATAACCTGAAACTCATTCGAGAAGATTGAATGAAAGAGATTAATATGTATTATAATTAGTATGATATACTCGCAATTGTTGTTCGGTTCTCTGATTCCGTATCCTATTAGCTTGCAGTGATTGGAACGGGATGGATTATGGTCACCGGTATGCGTCGGATAGCTTCGAATAAGAGACTATAATAAATCAAACGTAAATAATACAACTTGTACTAATCGTCTATCGCGATACTATTAACCCATAACCGATCACTTGCCGTCTGCGAGACTTCATTTGCAAGTTCTCTGGTAATTCTGACAGTTTCATGAAACTGTTAATCTGTTAACGTACAAGCGAGTTTTTCTATACCTCATTCGCAGGCTAGTTTTACATTCAAAAAATGTAAAAACTCAAAAATGGTCAAAACATCGAGGTAGATACTTAACGAAACCGAATATTTTCCTCGAATATTTTACGACAAAAATAAATTCCAAAACCACCGAAGTGTTAAAATTATCGATAAACTGGCACGATCGGCTAGACGCAAGAATCGTCGATCAAATAACCAGCTGCACGAGTCTGTTTCCGCTGATTAACATGTTACTAATTCTCGATGAGTAATCGGCCGCTTCTCGGCGTGACTTACCCCCAAGACAATCGCGACCATCGCATCGATATCGATCGATAATTTCAAGTGAAATATATTATTCGAAACTCTTGATCTCCCGATAAGAATCGCTGAACTACAGTTCTCTCCCGTTGCTCCACGCACCTGTAGCCTTCGCGCTAATCTGGATCTCGTCGTGCATCGGGCTTAGTTAGCCCCCGATTGAAGGAAACGAACGGAATAAGAGACAACCGGGGGAAAAACCGGCAAGAAACTTGCTCGCGGTGAGTCAGGTCACGGTTTTCGAGAACGGGGACCGGTTAGCTACCGTTCTGGCAAATTGTTCGCGTTCTATTTCCGTGCGTGTTTGAATTCGAAGGATTTCATAACACGGCCGCACCAGCTTCTGGCCGTAAACTGTTTCCTTCGTTCCATATTGGCAGGTAAAAATTTTCATCGGTCGGGGATGACACGCAGGAGTTGTACGTTCTTGCATCAGATATCCGTCCCCCGCCCCCTCCCAGGCCGCCGCGTCTCCACGTTGCTAGTTTTATTGACACGTTTCATCATCCTGCGCGTTCACCCGAAACCTTGCTGTGGCTTACCTGTAAACTCGCGAAGTTGTATATTCATAACGTACCTTGTTTTCTTTGCTTCCCGCGACCGTTTGCAGTCGGGATCTCTGAACGATGCTAACGAGGGATCGGTAATTTGATTGTTTCACACGTTCCACAGACGGTTCGCGCGACGATCGGTTCAGAACAATCGTTATTTTGTTACGTTCCGATCTTATACCGCAATGCATTGTTTGTTTTTGTTGAATATATAATTAGGCGGGGGACTATTAACATAAGAAATGAGACGCTTTGATATCGGTTCGCGTTATTTATATTACCGTTCGCATTGACGCGTTCATAGCCTTGCTGCATTCTCGATGGCCGGTGCCACTTTCTTATCTAACCGACTATGCGAACAATTCTGCAATATAGTATACAGAGCAGATTAGACTGAACAATTATCTACAATTCATCGTGTGACGAACGTGTGTAGACGAACGAGAACTGAGATCCAGGCTGGAATTTGTAAGATCATTTGGTGATCGGTGTTGAACTATTTATTTCTGGAGTTCTCTATCAGACTATTACGGAGCATCTCGTTGTTTTATCGGTGCAACTTGCTTAATCAAAATCGACACGAGGAACGCAATTAAAGTCGGCTGCCCGTGTCACTTTTATGTAATAATTCGAACGCGGTAGCTGCTCGCTGGCAGAACTACGAGCAACGTTTCTTTATCTCTGCTACCTGAATAAACGAAACTCTATATTTTCTAACGATGCAGAACTCGCGCATTCAGCACCGTGTTCACGTAAATAACACGTGGTTCACGTCTCTGGTCGTCTGTAGTCGTCGCTTGTTGTTGCTCGTGTTGATTCGTTTCTGCACCAGAGTTGCCAATAGACGTCATATGTTTATTACGGGTATCTATATGTGCAACTTTATGCTATGTATACCGTTGATTATAATGCGTTACAGCATTCTTCGCGACTACGCTTTGCATCGACGGTTTTCATTTTTAGATGCGCAAATTGTACGTGACTTGTTGCTCAAGGACCTGTCGATCGATTTCAGAACTACGTAAATAATTCGACGAAAATCGATAATAGCCGCAATCTTTATTCTTGATCATTTTGGGGAGCATCAACATACATTGTATTCTTGAACTAGATCAACGTTCTAAATTCGGATATTAACATTGTTTCGTAACATGCCACGTATAATTTCAAATCGCCACAGTTCGATAATTGCATATTTGTTAAATAGATCGTTTAACGCCATATGAAACGTAAGAAATAATTGTCTTCTTGGTCGACGCGTTGGGTTACAGTTAGAGGAAATCGTGCGAAATGAAGTTTGTAATACTAAATCATGTTGTTGTCTCCGAAACATTTTTCGCTTAAGCGTATTTGCGTAATTACCGATACTTTATTGCTAATTTCCTTTAGTTCGCGTTTGAAGGCGAGGAGATAAGCGGATCGAACGCGTTTGAATATCAAAGTTCAGTCGTCGGAATGGATTTGTCGCAAAGTTTTGCGTATCCGCATACTTATCGGGCGGTTTGTCTCGTGGCTTTCTTTATCTGTTGCGGTAATCAGATACTTTGTTCCCTGTAGATTGAATACCCATTGATTAGAATCGTCGGACAGTTCTTTTTCACGTTGGTAATGCGTAATGATTTAGCTATCGTAAAAGATAAGCATAAAAGCTCAGGCATCCGTAAAGATGGTACATATTAAGGAAGCTGAATTTATTGACTTAAAAATAACAGCATTATAAATTCATATGTATTTACGGTTAGGTAATGAAAAAGATTGAAAGAAAAAGAAGAATTATATAAACTAAAGATCAAGTTCTACTAATTGCCTTGAGATAACTAGATGGAAACTTAAGATAGGTGACTAAAATTTCTCAAAACCGGAGACCCCTTTTTTTAGCTAGAAAGGCATTAATTAATTTCAGTATGAGATACGCATTTACCTAAAACCGTTTCTTATCCTCGTTTACTTTATTCTATTCTAAAGGATGGAAATTGCAAAGTAGAATACGACGTTAATTTGTTAGATTTCTACAAAATTGTATTCAGAGTAAGCAAAATAATTGGAATCTCTCGCATGCGAATTTCAATGTGTCATCATTGTTTCAAATAATAAATCTGCTTTTATAGTTTCGTGTGTACAGTAGCCGCATTTATACCACAATGATAAATTCATCTTATATTTGTGTTTCTAAATAACTAGAACGGTTGGACAAAACAACGGAAACCATTATTCCACTTTATAAGAAGCTGGAAATCATACAACATATACTTCAAATAATCGGAAATATCGTTCCCCAATTAAATTCGTCTATCAAACAATCTAAATTTTCGTCAAACTGATACAATAATAATAAAAACTCAACGCAATAGTATTATGAACGATTAACTCTGTAGATTTTATCTCACTCCACAGAGTAGAAGCTTTTTTTTCAGAATCGGTAGAAAATGTGTCGACTCGACACGGTTATCGGATCAGAATTAAATCCTAGTTTTCTTGCTACCGCGCGCGACGTATTTGCACCAGTGTTCGCGCCGGAGATCGATTCGGTCGCGTTGGCCTCCTCGTGCGTCCACCGGTTTGCATCCGAAACTATGCCGAATTCATTCATAAAGGCCTCGCGATTCACCGAAATTGCCAGCCGGGAACAGAATCGTCGGCAGCGGAACAGCGAC